GGTCTAATTACCCATAATACCTGACTGTCTTCCCTCAGGCCGCGAAGGCTAACAGCGTACCAGGTCTAATTACCCATAATACCTGACCGTCTTCCTCCAGACCGCAGAGGCTAACAACGTACAGGTCCTGATACCCACCAATACCTGACTGTCTTCCCTCCAGACCATGAAGGCTAACAACGTGCAGGTCTAATTACCCTGTACTGACTGTCTTCCCTCTCAGGCCGCGAAGGCTAACAGCATACCAGGTCCTAGTACCCATAATACCCTGACTGTCTTCCTCAGGCCATGAAGGCTAACAGCGTGGGGTCTAATTACCCATAATACCTGACTGTCTTCCTCAGACCATGAAGGCTAATAGCGTACAGGTCTAGTACCCATAATACCTGACTGTCTTCCTCCAGACCGCGAGGCTAACAACGTGCCAGGTCTAGTACCCTGTACTGGCTGTCTTCCCCTCCAGACCGCCCGAAGGCTAACAACGTGCAGGTCTAGTACCCATAATACCTGTTGTCTTCCTCCAGACCATGAAGGCTAATAGCGTACAGGTCTAATTACCCATAATACCCTGACTGTCTTCTCAGGCGCAGAGAGCCCCAACAGCGTACAGGTCTAATTACCCATAATACCCTGACTGTCTTCCTCAGACCATGAGAGCTAACAAGCGTGGGTCTAATTACCCATAATACCCTGACTGTCTTCCTCAGACCATGAAGGCTAACACCGCGTACAGGTCCTAGTACCCATAATACCCTGACTGTCTTCCCTCAGGCCATGAAAGCTAACAACGTACAGGTCTAGTACCCATAATACCGGACCGTCTTCCCTCAGACCATGAAGACTAACAACGTACCAGCAAGTACCCATAATACCTGACTTTAATATTTCCTCCAGGCCATGAAAGTAACAACGTACCCAGGTCTAATTACCCATAATACCTGTTTATGCTTCCCTCTCAGACCATGAAGGCTAACTTAGCGTGCAGGTCTAATTACCATAATGCCTGACTATTTCCCTCAGCCATGAAGGCTAACAGCGTGCAAGGCCTATTTTCCCACCATACCTGACTGTCTTCCCTCAGACCATGACTAACAACGTACAGGTCTAATTACCCATAATACCCTGACTGTCTTCCTCCAGGCCATGAAGGCTAACAGCGTACAGGTCTAATTACCCATAATACCTGACTGTCTTCCCTCAGGCCATGAAGGCTAACAGCGTACCCAGGTCTAATTACCCATAATACCTGACTTCTGTCTTCCCACTCCAGGCCGCCAAGAAGGCTAACAGCATTACAGGTCGAGTACCCATAATACTCTGACTGTGTTCCCTCCAGGCCATGAAGGCTAACAACGTACGGTCTAATTACCCATAATACCTGACTGTCTTCCCTCGAGCCATGAAGGCTAACAACGTACAGGTCTGATACCCATAATACCCTGACTGTCTTCCCTCTCAGGCCATGAAATTTAACAGCGTGCAGGTCCTAATTACCCACTAATACTCTGACTGTCTTCCTCAGGGCCATGAAGGCCAGCAGCGTGCAGGTCTAATTACCCCATAATGCCTGACTCTGTCTTCCCTCAGGCCATGAAGGCCCAACAACGTGCAGGTCTAATTACCCATAATACCCTGACTGTCTTCCCTCAGACCGCAGAAGGCCCCAACTTAGCGTACAGGTCTGAGTACCCATAATGCCTGAGCTGTCTTTCCCTCAGGCCATGAAGGCTAACAGCATTACCAGGTCTAATTACCCATACCTATTTCATGTTTCCCTCAGACCATGAAGGCCCTAGCAGCGTGCAGGTCTAATTACCCGCAATACCTGACTGTCTTCCCACTCCAGGCCATGAAGGCTAACAGCGTACAGGTCTAATTACCCATAATACCTGACTGTCTTCCTCAGATGCGAAGGCTAACAGCGTGCAGACACAATTACCCGCAATACCTGACTGTCTTCCCTCAGGCCAGCGAAGGCCAACTTAGCGTGCAGGAATGATACCCGCAGCCACCTGACTGTGTTCCTCCAGGCCATGAAGGCTAACAGCGTGCGCACTGGTCTAATTACCCATAATACTCTGACTGTCTTCCCCTCAGGCCATGAAGGCTAACAACGTGCAGGTCTAATTACCCATAATACCTGACTGTCTTCCTCCAGGCCATGAAGGCTAACAGCATTGCAGGTCAATTACCCATAATACCTGACTGTCCTCAGGCCATGAAGGCTAACAGCGTACAGGTCTAATTACCCTGTAATACCTGACTCAATATTTCCCTCAGGCCATGAAGGCTAACAGCGTGCAGGTCTAGTACCCATAATACCTGACTGTCTTCCCTCCAGGCCATGAAGGCTAACAGCGTACAGTCCTGATTACCCATAATACTCTGACTGTCTTCCTCAGACCATGAAGGCTAACAACGTGCAGGTCTAATTACCCATAATACCTGACTGTCTTCCTCCAGGCCATGAAGGCTAACAGCATTGTTACAGGTCTAATTACCCACAATACCTGACTGTCTTCCACTCAGGCCATGAAGGCTAACAACGTGCAGGTCTAATTACCCATAATGCCCTGGCTGTCTTCCACTCAGGCCATGAAGGCTAACAGCGTGCAGGTCTAATTACCCATAATACCCTGACTTCCTTCCCTCAGGCCATGAAGGCTAACAACGTGCAGGTCTAATTACCCATAATACCCTGACTGTCTTCCTCCAGGCCATGAAGGCTAACAGCGTACAGGTCTAGTACATAATACCCTGACTGTCTTCCCTCCAGACCATGAAATTCCAACAGCGTATGAGTCTAATTACCCATAATACTCTGACTGTCTTCCCTCCAGACCATGAAGGCTAACAACGTACCCAGGTCTAATTACCCATAATACCTGACTGTCTTCCCCTCCCAGGCCATGAGCTAACAGCGTGGGTCTAATTACCCATAATACCCTGACTGTCTTCCTCAGGCCATGAAGGCTAACAGCATTACAGGTCCTAATTACCCATAATACCCTGACTGTCTTCCTCAGACCCTTGAGAAGGCTAACAGCGTACGGTCTAATTACCCTATAATACCTGACTTTTATGTACTGTGCCTTCTTCCTCCAGACCATGAAGGCTAACAGCATTGCAGGTCTAATTACCCATAATACTCTGACTGTCTTCCCTCAGACCATGAAGGCTAACAGCGTACAGGAGTCTAATTACCCATAATACCCTGACTGTCTTCCTCAGGCCATGAGCTAACAGCGTGCAAGTCTAATTACCCCTGTACCCTGACTGTCTTCCCTCAGGCCATGAAGGCCTAACAAGCGTACCAGGTCTAATTAGCCCTAATACCGGACTGTCTTCCCTCAGGCCATGAAGGCTAACTGGCGTACAGGTCTAATTACCCATAATACCCTGACTGTCTTCCTCAGACCATGAGGCCCCAACAGCGTACAGGTCCTGATGCCCATAATACCCTGACTGTCTTCCCTCAGGCCATGAAGGCTAACAACGTACAGGTCCTAAGTGCCACTAATACTCTGACTGTCTTCCTCTCAGACCATGAGGCTAACAACGTGCAGGTCTAAGTACCATAATACCCTGACTGTCTTCCCTCCAGACCATGAGGCTAACAGCGTACAGGTCTAGTACCCACATAATACTCTGACTGTCTTCCTCAGACTGCATGAGGCTAACAGCGTGCAAGGTCTAATTACCCTAATACCTGACTGTCTTCCCTCAGGCCATGAAAGGCTAACAGCGTACAGGTCTAATTACCCATAATACCCTGACTGTCTTCCCTCAGGCCATGAAGGCTAACAACGTACAGGTCTAATTACCCATAATACCCTGACTGTCTTCCCTCAGACCATGAAGGCTAACAACGTACAGGTCTAATTACCCATAATACCCTGACTGTCTTCCCTCAGGCCATGAAGGCTAACAACGTACAGGTCTAATTACCCATAATACCCTGACTGTCTTCCCTCAGGCCATGAAGGCTAACAACGTACAGGTCTAATTACCCATAATACCCTGACTGTCTTCCCTCAGACCATGAAGGCTAACAACGTACAGGTCTAATTACCCATAATACCCTGACTGTCTTCCCTCAGACCATGAAGGCTAACAGCGTACAGGTCTAATTACCCATAATACCCTGACTGTCTTCCCTCAGACCATGAAGGCTAACAACGTACAGGTCTAATTACCCATAATACCCTGACTGTCTTCCCTCAGACCATGAAGGCTAACAACGTACAGGTCTAATTACCCATAATACCCTGACTGTCTTCCCTCAGACCATGAAGGCTAACAACGTACAGGTCTAATTACCCATAATACCCTGACTGTCTTCCCTCAGGCCATGAAGGCTAACAACGTACAGGTCTAATTACCCATAATACCCTGACTGTCTTCCCTCAGACCATGAAGGCTAACAACGTACAGGTCTAATTACCCATAATACTCTGACTGTCTTCCCTCAGGCCATGAAGGCTAACAACGTACAGGTCTAATTACCCATAATACTCTGACTGTCTTCCCTCAGACCATGAAGGCTAACAACGTACAGGTCTAATTACCCATAATACCCTGACTGTCTTCCCTCAGGCCATGAAGGCTAACAACGTACAGGTCTAATTACCCATAATACTCTGACTGTCTTCCCTCAGACCATGAAGGCTAACAACGTACAGGTCTAATTACCCATAATACCCTGACTGTCTTCCCTCAGGCCATGAAGGCTAACAACGTACAGGTCTAATTACCCATAATACCCTGACTGTCTTCCCTCAGACCATGAAGGCTAACAACGTACAGGTCTATTACCCATAATACCCTGACTGTCCTCAGACCATGAAGGCTAACAACGTACAGGTCTAATTACCCATAATACCCTGACTGTCTTCCCTCAGGCCATGAAGGCTAACAACGTACAGGTCTAATTACCCATAATACCCTGACTGTCTTCCCTCAGACCATGAAGGCTAACAGCGTACAGGTCTAATTACCCATAATACCCTGACTGTCTTCCCTCAGGCCATGAAGGCTAACAACGTCTACCAGATGGTCTTCTCGTCGTCTTGCACGGTGTATGGCGACCCCGAACATCTTCCCATCACCGAGGATCACCCCACCGGAGCCGTGACGAATGTTTACGGTCGCACCAAGTATCTGATCGAGGAGATGTTGAAGGATCTGTCTCGTGCTGAGCAGGTGTGTAGGGATGTGTAGGAGTTGTGATGTGTCAATTAGCTCACATTCCATTAATAAATAATCACTTGTAATTAATAATCTTCATTTTTATTGCAGTAGAAAAAATGTAACTCAAAATGCCTTATAAAATTACAAGTTATATTAGTGATAGCTATTGAAATAACTATATTAACCTAACCTAATCCTACCTTAACCTAACCTACCCTAAACTAACCTAACCCAACTCTAAATTAAACTAACCTAATCCCCATACTCATCAAAACTCATAAAAATCCCACCTCGACAGAAATGGAACATCATCGCACTGAGGTATTTTAACCCGGTAGGAGCCCACCCGTCTGGCCGCCTCGGAGAAGACCCCACTAAGAACTTCACCAATCTGATGCCTTATATTGGTCAGGTCGCCATAGGGAAGAAGCCGAACCTGACTATTTTTGGCTGCGACTATGATACCGCGGATGGCACAGGTATGGGGGGGGGGAGGGGGTGGGGTGGGGTGGGGTAGGGTGGTAGTGGGTGGGGTAGTGGTAGTTTTAATCCAACTTAACACTAACTTAACCAAACTTGGGACAATTCAATATTAACTGCAGACATAAACAATTGACTGAGTAATGTTTGTTGCAGATGGTGTTGCAGGTAGTATTAATGTGTTGCAGATGGTGTTGCAGGTAGTATTAATGTGTTGCAGATGGTGTTGCAGGTAGTATTAATGTGTTGCAGATAGTGTTGCAGGTAGTATTAATGTGTTGCAGATAGTGTTGCAGGTAGTGGTAGTATTAATGTGTTGCAGGTAATATTAATGTGTTGCAGATAGTGTTGCAGGTAGTATTAATGTGTTGCAGATAGTGTTGCAGGTAATAGTGATGTGTTTGTTTACAGGAGTTCGGGACTACATTCACGTAATGGACTTAGCCTCTGGCCACGTCTCTGCTCTCTCAAAGCTCGACGAGGAACATCTTCGCTTTAAGGTACAATATATACATGTATTAATGTATATATCTATGTATATATCTATGTATATCTTAGAATCTCAAGAAAAATGTATATGTTATGTATAGTGGAACCACCTCCTTATAATGTACTTGTGTTTCAACATTAATGGGTCTTGGTATAATGGACTTTTAGCTCCATATAGTTCATTAAATGGGGGTTTTACATCTAACGGACCCTCGATATAATGGACTCTCCTCTCTATATAGTTCGTTAAATCGAGGTTTTACATCTAACGGACCCTCGATATAATGGACTCTCCTCTCTATATAGTTCGTTAAATCGAGGTTTTACATCTAACGGACCCTCGATATAATGGACTTTCATCTCTATATAGTTCATTAAATCGAGGTCTCACATCTAACGGACCCTCGATATAATGGACTCTCATCTATATAGTTCATTAAATCGAGGTCTCACATCTAACGGACCCTCGATATAATGGACTTTCATCTCTATATAATTCATTAAATCGAGGTCTCACATCTAACGGACCCTCGATATAATGGACACTCCTCTATATAATTCATTAAATCGAGGTCTCACATCTAACGGACCTCTATATAATGGACTTTCATCTATAGTCTCAATAAATCGAGGTCTCACATCTAACGGACCGATATAATGGACTCTCTCTCTCTATATAATTCATTAAATCGAGGTCTCACATCTAACGGACCCTCGATATAATGGACTTTCATCTATATAGTTCATTAAATCGAGGTCTCACATCTAACGGACCCTCGATATAATGGACTCTCCTCTCTATATAATTCATTAAATCGAGGTCTCACATCTAACGGACCCTCGATATAATGGACTTTCATCTCTATATAGTTCATTAAATCGAGGTATTACATCTAACGGACCCTCGATATAATGGACTCTCCTCTCTATATAGTTCATTAAATCGAGGTCTCACATCTAACGAACCCTCGATATAATGGACTCTCATCTCCATATAGTTCATTAAATCGAGGTCTTACATCAAACGGACCCTCGATATAATGGACTCTCATCTCCATATAGTTCATTAAATCGAGGTCTCGCTATACAATATCTAATAGAATTTCGTGGCGACTGTGTGGACATATGTACAATTTTACGAGCAACATTGTCCTGGCTTGTGGTAGACCTCATGTTGTAGTAGTGCCACGAACATTCATACCACCACCAGACAAATTCATAAGGCGGTGTTTATACATATTTCTGAGAGGCTATGTATATATGTATAGTATATATATGTATGTTATGTATATTTCCATGTATACCTTAGTGATTTGTTGAGTGAATTAGTCTTAGTTTGTATGTTTTTATGGGGTTTTAAATGCAGTTATGTATGTATATGTATATATGTGTATGGTATGTATGAATGTATGTATTTTATGTATAGTTTTATTACTTTATTATACATTGAAATATTTTTTTGGTTAATATGACATAACCTGATTCTGTTATGTTAGATACAGTATTTACAAATCGGTCAATAATAATAATAATGATAATAATAATAATGATAGTAATAATAGTAATAATAATAATAATAATAATAATAATAATAATAATAATAATAATATTATAGTAAACCCTCGAAGATCCGGATTTTGGAAGGTTCGGAAACAATATTTATGGCTCTTGGGTGAGACTCCCTAAGAAGAATTCCCAGCCTGGGGTGAAGGTCGTTTAGGCTAAAAGCTTTATCTTATATAATATCATAGACTAAAGTTAGCAGAATATAACTTGTGGTGATGTAATCCTTGTGAGATGGTGAATAATTTGAATATAAACATCATATATTTTGCATAGGAGATAAAATTCTTGTACTTTAGTGTAGTACGTTTGAGTACATGTACAGTGATATTGTTTAAAATTATTGATTATTCTAAGGATAAAGTCTGTATAACTAACCCCAGTGGTCAGGATAATATTTACTGTATTTAAGGTGTTTTTTATATCGTTATTTAGTACGTTGGCCGGAAGATTCGGACAATTGGCTTTTCCAGACAGGTGGTCCCCCCATTTTAGTCCGGATATTCGAGGGTTTACTGTAATAATAATATTACTGTATATACGTGCTTTGTAACCTCCATATAACGGACGTCTCTCTCTCCATATCAGTAATATCTCCGTTACCCAGAATCCCTCAAACCCGTAACACTCCAATAGCTGGAGTTGAAATTTTCTCGGATAATCTTTCCCAAAGCCGTAATTTTCCAGAAAGCTCCGGCTTTGGGAACGATTTTCCATGGAACATATTTTCTAGACAATTCCAAGTAAATTTTTCAAGTACAGTACCTGGAAAAATCCGGGGACGGGGGATATTTTTCCGGCTTTGAGAGAGTCTTCTGGTTACCTGGAAATCTGTCATTCCTGGAAGTGCTCTGGACCAATTGTTCCAGCTAACAGGGATATTACTGTAGTTTATTAGATGGAGGTTTCACACCTGACGGACCCTCGATATAATGGACTTTCCTTTTCATATAGCCACTTTTAATATTTGGTTAATTACAGATGATTTTATTTAGCTCAGAGGTGACCCCATACACAAGGTGTTAGTAGACTATCACCACTAACACCTTCACTACAGGGACGACACTTTTAATATATGGTTAACAACAGAGGTGACCCCATACACAAGGTGTTAGTAGACTATCACCACTAACACCTTCACTACAGGGACGACACTTTTAATTATGGTTAACAACAGAGGTGACCCCATACACAAGGTGTTAGTAGACTATCACCACTAACACCTTCACTACAGGGACGACACTTTTAATATATGGTTAACAACAGAGGTGACCCCATACACAAGGTGTTAGTAGACTATCACCACTAACACCTTCACTACAGGGACGACACTTTTAATATATATTTTGCTCGATGATTTTATCCCTTTTAACTGAGGCATTGTATATCAGAGGGGCATAAGTGCCAAAATACACCTCCCAATATACACTCATAAATAAATGTCCTTTTTCCTCTGACTTTCTTTCCACTTAATTCATCAAAGTTAATTTCGAAAAGTAAATTACATCTTTACTTATATTGAATTTGGGATAAAAGTAAAAGTATATAAGTATAAAAGTAATGAAGATTGAGCCAAATTTTAGTGTCCAAAAGTTACATAGAGATTTATGAACGATTTATCAGTAATAATCGAATGTTATGTTTAGACAATGAACTGCGAGGTGGGCCGAGTTTATTCCATCAACTACAGGAACATTTACGTTATTGTACCATCATCTAAAAACACCCTATAATTGTACCAGTGTCTATAAAGCCCTATAATTATACCATCAACAAAAACTTAAATAATTGTACCAGAAAAGACTAAAATTATACCATAAACCAACTAAGATTATACCATCAACAAAAACCTGCTGTACAAAAATCCCCCAAAATTAATGAACAATAATGACTCACAACCCCTTAATCAGTGGGTTAGGGACGAAGTATAACCCCTTTCTACTCCCCTTAATCTGTGGTTTAGGGCAAACTATAACCCCTTAGTCCTCCCCTTAATCTGTGTGTTAGTGACCAGTGCCGGATTTAGACCTGTGGAGGCCCCCCTCATTATAACTACCCAAGAGGGTGGGGTGGCGAGTGAAGCGAGCCTAAACATCTGGGAGTTCCTGGGGGGCGCTGTAAGCCCCCCGGGAAAATTGTTGAAATTTGAACCCTTCTTTGGAGAATTTTGAAGCCATATGCAGTTATATTGAGGTAATTAGAACATTGAGAAATTTTTAATTAATTGTATATTTATTGATAGTGTACAAATTCCCAACACACACACACACACACACACACACAAAAGTGACACATGACTGGAGTCATTCATGTGGTTTCAAGTCGACCAGCCCTGATATAGCTACTACCGCACATGTGGAGGCCCCTGGGCAGCTGCCCACTCATGAATCCAGCCCTGTTAGTGACAAACTATAACACCTCACTCCTCTCCTTCCCTTAATCTTGGGTTTAGGGACAAACTATAACCCCTTTCTACTCTCCTCACAGCCCCTCAATCTGGGGTTAGGACAGGGTATCTCTGTCTTGGAATTTATAAAGGAATTTGAACGCATAACGAAGACTCGGATCCCATTTGAGTACAGCGGCAGAAGGGTCGGAGATGTCGCCACCCTGGTGTGCGATGGGAGGCGGGGCACTGCGCAGCTGGGGTGGAAACCGACCAGGAGTTTTGAGGTCATGTGTGAGTATGGTGGTGTGTGTGTGTGTGTGTGTCTCTTTTCAGGGTTACATTGTCTTATTTACAGGTTATTAAGTAGAGAGAGATAAGTTTGAGGGGTTTTTCTTTCTCTTTACTGTGTCTTATTTTCAGGGTTACATTGTCTCTTGTCTCTTATTTCCAGGTTAATATGTATGGGAGAGAGATAATTATAAGGGACAGTATCTCAATATTGTCTCTCTGTTCTCCAGGTAATATAGAGATAGAGACATGGGTTAATTTATCTCATTGTCTCTCTCTCTCTCACCTCTTGTAAATGTCAGGTCATATTTGATCTATCTATCTCTCTCATTACATATAGATCGTGTATATGTAAGTAAATTAGAGATATTTAATTGTCTCTTGTCATATATAGGTCGTGTGTGTGTGGATGATAGAGATATTCAATTGTCTCTTGTCATATATAGGTCGTGTGTGTGTGGATGGATGTACGGATGGATGTACTGATGGATGATATAGGTAACTACACTGGATATTTCTCACTATCTCTCCTCCCTTCTATATACTTCAATCTCTCAGAGGGTCATTACCGATGCTAATCCTTGCCGTTACAAAAAAAAAAACTGACGCCTGTAACTTTTCCACAGACTTACAACTTGGGCACAGGTCAAGGGGTGTCTGTATTACAACTCGTGAAGGCTTTTGAGGCCGTCACAGAGAGTAAAGTGCCGTACGAATTGAAACCTCGACGGGAAGGAGATATTGTTTCGATGTTTGCTAACACGACCCTCGCCACGATTGAATTGGGGTGGACGGCAAAATACTCGCTCGAGAATATGTGTAAGTCATATGAGTTCCAACTACCAAGATGCCTATAACTGTCTAACTCTTATTTTAATATACCTTGGGGTGGTTGGTGGGGGAGGGGGGGGTGTCTTGGTAAATTAGTCTAAGGTCTAGTTGTGGACGAGGTCGTGTGTTACTTTGACCTCTGTGGATTATCTTGAGGCTACCCCCTGTCATCCCAGGAGGGGTCCCACCTAAGTCTTAACCTCCCCCCCCCCCAAGGCTATCAAGAGGGGGATCTAATCTTCAGATGGTCCACAAAGGTTAGACTTCCATAAGACATTGTTCACTGTGTTAGTTTGTTGTACACTGTCGGTAGTATCCCATGTACTGTCTTGAGCATGTACTGTCGGTAGTATCCCATGTACTGTCTTGAGCATGTACTGTCGGTAGTATCCCATGTACTGTCGGTAGTATCCCATGTACTGTCTTGAGCATGTACTGTCGATAGTATCCCATGTACTGTCGCTATAGTGCGGTTTTTCCCAGCTGAGAAGAGATGCCCCGCCCCCTCATCAATACTCACAGCTGATTGGCTGTTGCAAATCTGTCCAATTTCGTCCTGAAGTAATGGTGTATTTCTAAACGAGTTTATTCATAACGACCGTTTATGACGAGAAAGATATTTAGCTAAATTATTTAAAGATATACATTAATTATTTCAAACATAAACACGTAGGAAGTTTATCAGAGGTCGTGTAATATTTCAATGTTATTCTGATCTTTTAAAATGTTGTTTTTTGTATAATGTAATATTACTAATATGTAATTAGTCTTAATATGTCTGTAATTTATCATATTGTGGTAAAAATAAGTATATATTAAATGCGTCCTCCGAAAGCGTCAATTTGTTACCAGAGTTTAACAGTTAATTCTTGTATAATATTTCTGATATAATTTAACTAAACATCTTTCTCGTCATAAACGGTCATTATGAATAAACTCGTTTAGAAATACACCATTACTTCAGGACGAAATTGGACAGATTTGAAACGGCCAATCAGGTGCATCTATTATGGCCCTATATAGCTTATTATGGCCCTACATGACCCAATATGGCCCACATAAACTCACATGGCCAAACAACACACTTAACTGCTTTACATCAAGGCCGAACTGGAGGCAGAGTTCTAACCTAACCCTAACGTAACCTAACCTTAATGTAACGTAACCTAACCCTAACCTAACCCTATAGCCTCGATCACATTGCTGCTTGGTGTTGCTATTTGGCTGCTATTTTTGTTTACCTGTACGTGAAGCTATTATTTCCGTTTCTTGTAAATTCACGGCTTTTTCCATCTCTAGGGTTGCGACTTAAATCTCTCATATCTGTGTTACTTGGTGTTACTTGCTTGAGCTGTTCTATTAACTAGCATGTGGTGCTAAGGGTGACTGGTGGAATGCTAGTTTTTATTGCAAGTAAGAGTTTGGCTATTTTTAGGGTGTGGAAAAATAGCCAACTGTAAATATATGTCGCTAGTAAGAGTTTGGCTATTTTTAGGGAGTGGAAAAATAGCCAACTGTATATATATGTAGCTAGTAAGATTCTGGCTATTTTTAGGGTGTGGAAAAATAGCCAACTGTAAATATATGTAGCTAGTAAGATTCTGGCTATTTTCAGGGTGTGGAAAAATAGCCAATTGCATATATATGTAGCTAGTAAGATTCTGGCTATTTTAAGGGTGTGACAAAAAATATATAGCCTGATTTTGTGAATATTTGACAGTACAATATGTGTGTGTGTGTATGTATGTATGTATGTATGTATGTATGTGTGTGTATGTATGTGTGTATGTATGTATCATGAGTCCAAAATGCCTAAGATTGCCTTTGTTGTCGTTAAGGTGAGGTAGTAGCGAGTCCTATTCACACACAGAGGTCCAGGGTTTGATTCCCAACGAGCGAGGTGTGTGTGTGTGTGTGTGTGTGTGTGTGTGTGTGTGTGTGTGTGCCTATAGACTTGGACAATAACAAGCACGAGATTGTATTATTTGCCTATTGTTCTATCTTCATGTATACCTATTATTTCAAATTTTCCTCCTCAATAGTTTGTTGACATCGGGCGTGAGACATTTTCTTAACCATCATCTTTCTTGTAAGGTTAGGTAACGGTGGGTGATTTAGTAAGTTTCTCACGATATCTTGTAGTGCTGAGATTGGTGTCCGCCTCCCTCCCCTCCCCAAACTTCTCCCAAGTGCTACCAGAGCCTCATTCTCTCTCTTTGAGCCTAACCAACCTGAAGTAACCACCCCTAAAACTCTCTGGGGGGGGGGTGGCTATTCTTCAGGTCATTCATAAAGGCTCGAGTTTACGATAGGCTCGTTGGCTCTCTCGACAACATCTCTGCTCTGGGGTTGAGTTTATTTAAGTGAATTAAAATTGTCTTCGTGATTTGGAATTTTATTTTGTGTTAAACGTGATTGATTATCCGTTTGTTTTTGTTTGTTTTTGTTAACTTTTCGTCTTTTAATTTATTCAGTTAATCGTGTTTGTTCTTGGTCGGTCATGTCTCTGTTACACACTGTTGGCATGTACTGGCTCTCTGTTACACACTGTTGGCATGTACTGGCTCTGTTACACACTGTTGGTAAGTACTGGCTCTCTGTTACACTGTTGGCATGCTGGCTCTCTGTTACACACTGTTGGCAAGTACTGGGCATGTACTGGCTCTCTTTACACACTGTTGGCAAGTACTGGCTCTGTTACACACTGTTGGCAAGTAATACTGGCATGTACTGGCTCTCTGTTACACACTGTTGGCAAGTGCTGGCTCTCTTGTTACACACTGTTGGAAGTACTGGGCATACTGGCTCTCTGTTACACACTGTTGGCATGTACTGGCTCTCTGTTACCTTTGGCAAGTACTGGGCATGTACTGGCTCTCTGTTACACTGTTGTGAGTACTGGCTCTGTTACACACTGTTGGCAAGTACTGGCTCTCTGTTACACACTGTTGGCAAGTACTGGCTCTCTGTTACACACCATTGACAAGTACTGGGCATGTACTGGCTCCTAAATGTCTACCTGACCTTATATTGGTCAGGTCGAGTCTTGAATGACCTCACAATTGACATTTTAAGTAGTTCCGTTCCATACCATTCTGTCTCGTTCCGTTCCGTTCCCTAACTGCCAGGACTCATCCCTATTGGCTCTCGTCTGAATATATTAAGAACCTTTCATTGGTTTAGCTTCAAGTGGTGACCCTTCAGCTGTCTGAGTAATTTAGTTGTGTTAAAGAAAGTGTGTGTGTGTGTGTGTGTGTGCGTGTGTGTGTGTGTGTGTGTGTGTGTGTGTGTGTGTCCTAACCTAATCTTTGGAATGACTTATATTTATGACTGTATGCTCATAAGATTCTAAAATTGTGTTGTGTATTAAGTAGATTTAAGTAAGTGTGTGTAATTACAACTCTTAATTACTTTAAATAATGTAATAATTAGTCATTATTATTATGTAAATATAACATTTAGTAGTAAAAATAATAGTAGTGGTAATAGTAATAATAATAGTAATAGGAATAATAATAATAGTAATAATAATAGTAATAATTTTAATAATAATAAGAATAATAATTTTAATATTAATAATTTTAATAATAATAATAATTTTAATAGTACAGTCAACCCTCACTTTACGCGGCCCCACATTCCGCGTTTCCACGTTTACGCGGTGCCCTGCCGGAACCCAGGATGCTCACATTCCGCAGTGCGTGTACCCCTTTACGCGGAGAGCGGCTGGCGAGCCGCGCCATTTTTGAATCCAAACCTCCCGCCATCCGCCATGTTGCGTAAGCGGCGCGAACATGGTGCGCACAAGGTCGCCCAGTCATCAAAACATTACCAGTTCTTCACCCGCCACCCACCACAGCCGGCCCAAGTCAGTGATAGTGATAATTATAGTGAGGATATGGACTTATATGGACTTTGAGGGGTTTGACAAAGAGGCCCTGCAAGCCTCTGTGGTGGATAGTGATACAATTGATACAAGTGATACAGGTGAGGGCCAATAATCTGACCTCTGCCCCGGAACTAACCGCCCATCCCCGTGTGCCCAGCCATCTTTTCTACTAATGTTAGTGTTAAAAAAACCTAATATTATTGATATTTCTCTTAATTATTAATTGTGTGTGCATACCATCATAAAGTTAAGATAATATTTTTACTACAACATAGTTGTGTGTCGTCAAAAAGTGGAGTTTGGGGGGCCGGCCCGGTCTCTATTTCAATTAATCCCATATGTTATGATGTTCACTTTACGCGTTTCTCACTTTCCACGGTACCCTGTGGGTTACATTAACCGCATAAAGTGAGGGTTGACTGTAATAATATCCACTAAAATCTTCACACATGTTAACAATCTGTTTAACATGTATATAGACAATATACATATACCATATATACATACACCATACATATATACAAATAATACACACTCACCCTAAACTTCTCGAATGCTATAAATACGATCTGAAAAATAAACAAGGAATCGCAAATCTTTTTGAGACGAGCGCTATTTTGCTCCTTCTCACGACCATCTTGTTTTGGTGATCGAGATTATTTATTTTATTTTTTCCACGATAATGTTACCTACGCAGACCCTAGACTAAGCTGCTGGTCCGATGTTCGAGAAGTTTTGGGCGTGTTTACGTAGACAGTATAGATAAAGAGACAATTGGCAAGGAGGTACTACGATGATATGTTAGTCGATCAAACCACCAGATTCTTTATTTTCATTAGGGGTCATAAAATGGCCTTGGAGCATTATTATTTATTGTATTATGCTCTTGATGGAATATGAAGTGATTTTATTAAATTTTATAATGCTCTTAAAATGATTAGAATGCTCCTATATAATGCTCTTAAAATGATAAGAATGCTCATATATAATGCTCTTAAAATGATTAGAATGCTCCTATATAATGCTCTTAAAATGATAAGAATGCTCCTTTATTTTATACAGTAATACTCTTAAAAAATTAGAATCAAGTCCTATATTTTATAATGCTCTTTAAATGATTATAATGCTCTTATATAATGCTCCTATACTTTATAATGCTCTTGAAGGAAAATTAAGTGTATATTAAATTTTATAATGCTCTTTAAACAATTAGAATCAAGTCCTATATTTTATAATTCTCTTAAAATGATTATAATGCTCCTATATAATGCTCCTCTATAATGCTCCCAAAGGAATAAATTAATCGACCACACATCTCATACATTCGTGACGTCTTAAATCAATTGCTTACACAGGCGAGGATTTCTGGAGGTGGCAGACGATGAACCCAGACGGCTATGCTAAAGACGAGCCGTTCGAAGCGACGGTATTGGACAGATCACAGACCGTAACGACTCCCCCTGGAAACGTCAAGACAACAGCAGCGACGTCCACTAACTCGTCCTCCTCGTCGGTGAATGGCGTCAACGGAGTGAAGAATCATTGAGGTCGTCGGGTTGGTTAGGTTTTGTTGTCCTAGTTAGTGCTAGTTAGTGAGGTTGATGCACTGTGGTAGTTTGAGGTACTGTATACTGCACTATTGTGGTATTATAGGATGGTAGTTTGGAGATTTTGTCTCTCTCTCTCTCTCTCTCTCTCTCTCTCTCTCTCTCATCCCGTCCACTCTTGCGACGGCTGACGATTTAACCCCATTGTGTAACGCGCCAACGGCCAATCGGACATACGCACAAGTTCCTCCGCGTGTCTGGATGTCCGTATGTCGGGAAACGCATCTACTATTTATAATAACCGTGAATATATGAATGGATTTAATTTTGGTGATTCCTGGTGCAATGTTGGAACCCATCTAGTATTTTTGGGGGTATATTTTGGGAATGGGATCTAGATGCGTCTTAAAGTCTGATTGGTTAAAATAAAGTCCGATCGGTTAAAATAAAGTCCGATTGGTTAAAATACAACTTTTATCGAGTTGTTTTGAGGTAATAATCATATATTGGACAGAGGATTTCATGCCCCCAATGAAACGAAAAGTACGGTAGTGTTTATTTTGATGTCAGTTGAACCCCTAAGGAAAGGTTGTTTTGTTTTTGTTTTTTAGTGCCCGATCGTTTACTCGTTTACCTTCCTGAAGATCGTATTGTAGCGTTATAAATGTACGTAGAGTTGATTGGGGTTATAATAATAATAATAAGAGTTCGAAAAAATGGTATTTAATTCCTTCCCCAAAAAAAAAACTTGGCATTATATACTATAGAGAAACGTCCATAGATTAAATAGATTAAATAGATGGATTAATTACCTCTCCTTAGCTTTCGTTAGGTTTACGTTAGAGGTGCCAACATGATAGGGTGAATTATATAGCAATTATTTCGCCTAGTTGGAGGTTAAAATTGAAATGTTAAATTGGCTTAGGAGTTTGTGAAGGAATTTAACGTTAATATGTTAAATTAGTAGGAAATATTAAATAAATCGACTGGAATAAAAATATCATTTAATTTTAAGTTAAAACTGTAGTATTTCTGAGGGTCTTTAAGAGTTAATGTATTGTATGATTGTTAATTATTAAAATAGGTCAATTACTAGTGAAATATTACACTATTTATTTGACTTTAAACCAACACTAATTAAAAAAGCAATAAAATAGCCCAATTACTAGTGAAAAATTACAATTGATTCGACTTTAAACTATGACTGAATAAAATAGCAATAGAATAGCCCAATTGCTAGTTAAGAATGACACTATTCAGCTTTAAACTATGACTGAATAAAATAGCAATTAAATAGCTCAATTGTTAGTTAAAATATATATTATTTCGACTTTCTACTAAGACTGTATAAACTAGGAATAAAATAGTCAGATGGTTAGTTAAAATATATTTATTCAGCTTTCAACCAAGACTAAATAGCAATAAAATAGTCCAATAATTCAAACAGAAATATTAAGTTGTATTAGAGAATTATTTAAGGAATTTGACTTTATATATATACTTTAGATGCCAGTCCAGGGATGTATGTAACATTTGATTGAAAGAATACCAATTAATTTATAAGTAATATCTCCGTTACCCAGAATCCCTCAAACCCGTAACTCTCCAATGGCCGGAATTTAAATTTTTTTCGGATAATCGTTACCAAATCCGGAAATTTCGAGAAAATTCCGGATCTGGGAACGATTTTCCGGGAAATTTCGAGAAAATTCCGGATCTGGGAACGATTTTCCGGGAAATTTCGAGAAAATTCCGGAGATGGGGGATATTTTTCCGGGTTTGAGGGAGTAGTCTGGTTACCCGGAAATATCTCGTTCCCGGAAGCGTTCTGGACCGATTGTTCCGGCTGACGGGGATATAACTGTATCGATAAGTTTGCCGATATCTTTTTTGTAATCCGCCGATATCGTCCAATTATGCGTTATCAATAAAGTTAAAAGTATTGTATGCTAGTTTATAAGTGTGTGGTTTAAGTCTTATTTATAAAAGTAAAACATAAAAGTATTGGTTTTGTTTTATTTTCTTTGTTTTTTGTTTAGTTTTAAGCTTTTATTTTTGTGTTTTTAAGTCGAATGTCGGTGGTTTTTTTTTTCGAGGACGTTGGTTTGAGGTTTAACTATAAGAGGTGATTCTTAAGGTGATCGTGGCGTTTATTGCCCCAAGGACATAAAAACACATTAAAATCATGGTTATATATTGGTGTCTTGGCTATAGATGCAACGACATATACAGTATAGACAATTGAAACCTGCATACTGTCCAGAGAAGAGATTCATAAGGTGATCGTGGCGTTTATTGCCCCAAGGACATAAAAACACATTAAAATCATGGTTATATATTGGTGTCTTGGCTATAGATGCAACGACATATACAGTATAGACAATTGAAACCTGCATACTGTCCAGAGAAGAGATTCATAAAGTGATCGTGGCGTTTATTGCCCCAAGGACATAAAAACACATTAAAATCATGGTTATATATTGATGTCTTGGCTATAGATGCAACGACATATACAAAAAACAATTGACAGATGCATGTGTATTTGTTTTATTAGACACAGATACAAACAAATAAAAACATGGAGACTGTATTTGTGTGTCTCCTATTTATAGTTAGACAAATACAAGAATTACAAACATGCAGAGTGTCCTTTTTTTTTAATTATTATACAAGGACAAAAAACAATTAAATTACATATACAATATTTGTTTTGGGATTGAAGTCTTCGTGGAATACATACATACATACGGACCTCAACGAGAATCTACATGTATGCACTTGTTCCCTAGCCACAGGCAGAAAACGACCTCGTTGCAGTTTCTGTGTGGAGAAGAAGAGTAATTAGACGATGGTGACACCTCCATTATATTGAGGTTCCGTTAGATGTGGAACCTCGATTTAATGGACTATATAGAGAGAAAAGTCCGTTATATCGAGGTTCCGTTAGATGTGGAACCTCGATTTAATGGACTGTATGGGGAGGAAAGTCCGTTATATCGAGGTTCCGTTAGATGTGGAACCTCGATTTAACGAACTATATAGAGGTGGATATAAAATCACCTGTTGTTCACCTGTCGTACAAATTAGGTAGTTGCCTTCGTTTGGACATTTACAATCACTAGCATATCTCGGGGACCAGACTTAGCACATCACTAGCATATCTCAATAACCAGATGGGGTGACAGTACTCCAGGCAGGGAAGCAACCTCACTCTTGAAGATCTGTTGGACATGGATGCCTTTGCTCATAAGACCTCGAGGATTTAACTAAATAATTCACTCGATTATCCTCGTCATATTAGTCCGAGAGCTTTGGTAAATTGTCAACACACGAGCCAGTCATTTTCTGTATACATGGTGGACTGTATACCTGTGTTTAGTATACATGGTGGATGCTCTCTCTCTCTCTCTCTCTCTCTCTCTCTCTCTCTCTCTCTCTCTCTGTGTCTCTCTCTCTCTCTCTCTCTCTCTCTCTCTCTCTCTCTCTCTCTCTCTCTCTCTCTCTCTCTCTCATCTTAAGTTATAACTCGAATAACCAGATCACATTACGTCTCATCCTCGAAGACATCGCACTTGGCGTTATTGCAAGGAGGAAGAGCCGATAGCTGCTTGGAGGTGTAGTTCTTGGCGGTAGTTAGAGTCAGTCCTCGAGGTTTACATGCTGGTAACGGCCACCTGACGACGGTAGAGTGATCGTTAGGGTTGGCCATTAGGGTTGTTGGTGTACACAGCTTAAGGTAATGTTGGGTGTTTAGTGATGGTTAGGTTAGGTTAGGCTCTCTCTCTCTCTCTCTCTGTCTCTCTCTCTCTCTCTGTCTCTCTCTCTCTCTCTCTCTCTGTCTTTCTCTCTCTCTCTCTCTCTCTCTCTCTCTGTCTGTACTGTCTGTCTGTCTCTCTCTCTCTCTGTCTCTCTCTCTCTCTCTCTCTCTCTCTCTCTCTCTCTCTCTCTCTCTCTCTCTCTCTCTCTCTCTCTCTGTCTCTCTCTCTCTCTCTCTCTGTCTCTCTCTCTCTCTCTCTCTCTCTCTCTGTCTGTCTGTCTGTCTGTCTCTCTCTCTCTCTCTCTCTCTCTCTCTCTGTCTTTCTCTCTCTCTTTCTCTCTCTCTCTCTCTCTCTCTTTCTCTCTCTCTCTGTCTGTCTCTCTGTCTCTCTCTCTCTCTCTCTGTCTCTCTCTCTCTCTGTTAGTACTCGAGGTGGGATTAGGTTAAGTTGGATTACCTTGACTTAACTTAACCCGACTTAACTCATGGCTAACTTAACCTAACTTAACTTAACCTAACTTAACTTAACCTAACTTAACTTAACCCAACTTAACTTAACATAACTTAACTTAACCTAACTTAACCAAACCACCGAGATACCATAAGTATGTGAAATCATCAATTAGATCCAAAATTAAATACAGTTATATGACCTTTGACCCCATACCTGTGGAGGTCAGAAGCGAGGTCATGGCAGGGTCGAGTATTGAGCCCAGCTACACATGGACATTCACACGCGAGGTCACAGGTATTTCGACATTCCATCGTTTCCTCGTTCTGTAATTATGGTTTACATTGTTGATATTATGGTCTGGTTATGACGTAATTACAGTTACTTGATTATATTATATTGTGGTTTAAATATATGACCCTAACGAGGCAGTTTGAGTCGTTAAGAGCTTGTTTGTTGGATTCATCTTTTGACTCGAGGATAGATGGTGTTAGTGTATCTTACCACTGTGTCCTGGGTTTAGTCTTCATCCCAGGACACCCCAACACACCCCCACACACCCCCCCACACCCCCACACACACACCCCAACACACCCAACACACCTAACACACACCCAGCACACCCCACACACCCCAACACACCCCTACACCCCCAACACCCCCACACACACCCCCACACACCCCAACACACCCCCAACACCCCCTACACACACAACACACCCCAACACCCCCCCAACACACCCCCCACACACCCTAAACTCACCAGGAAATGATCACAGTGGCAGCTATCATAGCCCATCAGACGTTCAGTTCGCACCACCAGGAACAGGTTAGACGCCGGAATCTTATACATTAGATAATACTTCCCTTTGTGTTGGGTCTTGTAGCCATTAAGTTCCATAGACCAGAAGTAGAATGTTACTTCTCTCTCGTAGTCGTGACATCCGTGGCGTCGAAGTACTTTACTGGATATCAAGTCACGAGCTGGTCGATGGGAAGTAGATATGGTGGTTATTGAGAGAGAAATTGATGTTTTTACGGGTTTTTTTGGTTAGGTTAGGTTTTGGTTGGGTTTGGTTAGGTTTTAGGTTTTGGTTGAATTTGGTTTGGTTGCGTTGGTTAGGTCAAGTTAGGTCAGGTCAGGTTAATAATTCACTGCTAATTATAATTATTGCTATAACATCATATAATTACTGTAATAACTAATAATCATGATAATTAGTCCTCGATAATTAAACTACAACAACCATTCATAATTCTACTAAATAACCATGATAATTAGTCCTCAATAATCTCAGCACTAGGACAGATTGACTCACCAATATCCGGAGCTATGGAGGTGATGTGGGCAGAGATTAGGTCAGTGTCATTGTGGCAGTCACGGGGGGAGGTGCTGTGGGGGACCTGGTCCAACTTGATGACTATGTACCCAAGTCTGTCCACCAGTAGACATCTGTGAGGAGTGAGGTTAGAACGCTTGTAATTTAATCTAATGTAACTTAATATAACGTAATTTAATCTAATGTAACCTATTGAAACTTAACATAATCTACCTAACCTAACCAAAAAGTTCTCCCTAACTCACGTATGTTGGGAACAATATGGGACATTCTTGAGAAATATTGCTTGAATGTACTGCAATGTGAAGTCTCCAGCAACCACAGCCATCGGATTGCCTAATGGCCCTTGTAGAGCTTTGGTAATTGTGTACATCATTCCAGCGCCTAGTTCATCACAATAGGGTGTGGTCATTGAGACGGCATCCTCCTCGTTAGTCGATATCGCTAACAGGTACCTGGTGGAATTGCGTTTTGTGAGGGAATTGTTATTTAATTAATGGTATAGACCTATGATACATCGCCAGGTATGTAATTTAGTGGTATAGGCCTATTTTGGGGTTAGATTTGAAACCTTGATTTAATGAACTATATAGAGATGAAAGTCCATTATATCAAGGGTTCCACTGTACTGTATATAAACAAAATACGTCAATATCTAACGATCATTAAACCATAATCACTTAACTAACAGCACCCTCTAACCATGGCCTAGTTCTATGGTCGTATGTTTGCTTGAGTACGGTGCCAGGGAAAGCTATAAGGGTTCCATCAGCTGTCCCCATATACTGCTGACCGATGTAGTTACTGAGATTAGCTGCTCGTTTCCACACACGTTCTGCCTTCTCAACTAGCTTCACACTGGCTCTTAAATCCTTCTGTGAGTAAATTGAGGAGGTTTATTTTAGTGTTTTATTGTGTTTTATTAGTGTTTTTATTGTATTCTGAGTTTTATTTGTATCTCTCTTTCATCTTACACTTAGTAGCTCGTCGTAGGGACTGTCGCCGTGAAATATTGAGTACAAGAGTGCTATTTCTTGGTTAGTTTCGCCTCTTATATAACCCAGGAGGTCGTTGAAACAATCTGGTGCAAATTTGACCAGACCCTTATCTGCAATGGCTCTCTGCAATAGAAAAATACTAGTTGCAATAGTAGTAGTAATAGTAGTAATAATAATAATAATGTCAGATATAATGTCAGGTTATGTCAGATATAAGTTAGGTCAGGTCAGGTCAAACTTGGTTAACCTCACTCACCGTGCCAAAGAACCTACAGAATGACCTCGTATTGCTGGGTTTTGGCAGATGGTAGTGGAAATCTTTCATGTGGCAATCGGTAGAGTTGTAACAATGGTATTTTGATGCCATGACCTGTAACGACAATGACATTTTAAGGGACTACGGTGCTAAAGTAAACTAATGAGAGAGAGAGAGAGAGAGAGAGAGGGAGAGAGAGAGAGAGCTGTATATATGACCACTTTAACACCTGTCAACACCTCTCTCTCCCCAAAACCAGAATTGTGTTAAAAATATCCCTTTCATCTGCCCCTCCTCCCTCTCCCACCTCCCACTCCTCCCTCTCCCCCCTCCCACTCCTCCCTCTCCCACCTCCCACTCCCCCCACTCAACCAAGCCTTACCTTCCCACTCTTGAGAGGCAATACGAGGGCAATGCTAAGATCCGTGCCATTTATAGGTCCCCAGAGGTAACGCAGGCTGGCCCTCTGACGTTGGACAGCATTGGGTAGGTTGAGCCTGCCCCTTGGCCTACCCACGGACACTACTCGGGTGCCCTTTATCACGTCCTGTAGATAAGAGGTTGGATTAGGTTAGATTTAGGTTAGATTTTGGTTAGATTTGGTTAGATTTTGGTTAGATTAGGTTAGATTTAGGTTAGGTTGGGTTTGCTTTAATCTACTGAGGGCCCTTGTACATATATGAAGGGAACTTACATATAGAAGGAACTTACATATAGAGGGAACTTACATATAGAGGGAACTAACATATAGAGGGAACTAACATATAGAGGGAACTAACATATAGAGGGAACTAACATATAGAGGGAACTTACATATAGATGAAACTTACATATAGAGGGAACTTACATATAGATGAAACTTACATATAGAGGGAACTAACATATAGAGGGAACTAACATATAGAGGGAACTTACATATAGATGAAACTTACATATAGAGGGAACTTACATATAGAGGGAACTTACATATAGAGGGACCTTACACTATAAAGAAAACATTACCTTAAACCCCGGCTTCTGTCTAACGATATCCCTAAGAAAAGACCTGACATTAGGGTCCCGTTCCAGCTTATCGATGGTGACATATGCTGGGTCCATCGTCAGGGCGTGGGGTGACGGCAGGAGAGGGTGCACCACTGTGTTGCCCTGACTGTTGACTATGAACACGTAGGCATTGTTGATATCTGCCGGAGTAAGGTCAGTTATTGTAACCTAATCTAGACTAACTTAGATTATCATTAACTTTGATTAACTTGAAATTACTTGACACTAACCATCATTAGAAATATAGGTAGGCATTGTTGATATCTGCTGGAGTGAGGGGTGTTATTGTGACCTAATCTAGACTAACTTAGATTATCATTAACTTTGATTAACTTGAAATTACTTGACACTAACCATCATTAGAAATATAGGTAGGCATTGTTGATATCTGCTGGAGTGAGGGGTGTTATTGTGACCTAATCTAGACTAACTTAGATTATCATTAACTTTGATTAACTAGAAATTACTTGACACTAACCATCATTAGAAATATAGGTAGGCATTGATGATATCTGCTGGAGTGAGGGGTGTTATTGTGACCTAATCTAGACTAACTTAGATTATCATTAACTTTGATTAACTAGAAATTACTTGACACTAACCATCATTAGAAATATAGGTAGGCATTGATGATATCTGCTGGAGTGAGGGGTGTTATTGTAACCTAATCTAGACTAACTTAGATTATCATTAACTTTGATTAACTAGAAATTACTTGACACTAACCATCATTAGAAATATAGGTAGGCATTGATGATATCTGCTGGAGTGAGGGGTGTTATTGTAACCTAATCTAGACTAACTTAGATTATCATTAACTTTGATTAACTAGAAATTACTTGACACTAACCATCATTAGAAATATAGGTAGGCATTGATGATATCTGCTGGAGTGAGGGGTGTTATTGTAACCTAATCTAGACTAACTTAGATTATCATTAACTTTGATTAACTAGAAATTACTTGACACTAACCATCATTAGAAATATAGGTAGGCATTGTTGATATCTGCCGGAGTAAGGTCAGTTATTGTGACCTAATCTAGACTAACTTAGATTAGATTACCATTAACTTTAGATTAACTAGAAATCACTAGACACTAACCATCAATAGAAACATCAGCTAGTAGGTTAATTATACTGTAATCAATACACGTAGCACCAACGAACTCTCCTCGTGCTGACAGTGGTAAGCAGACTGACATAATATACCCGTCTCCAAAAGCATCCCAGTATGGCATAGGAATCACTGGACGTTCTGTCACTGTTACCCCGAAGCTGTTGGGTAGTTAGAGGTAGTTAGAGAGACAATAAGACAGTATATTAATTTTCACAACGTTAATAAGTCTCTATGTATCTATCTCTCTCTGTCTCTCTGTCTGTCTGTCTCACCTGGACACGCTGGTTTGAGAGGCGTAGAATTTCTCCAGTGTGGGAAATGCGACCAATTTCAGCGTTGATTTATTGAGGTGAAGCAATTCTGTGTCCTTAACTCCTTCCCCTGCGTCTGTTGGTGATTTACAATACCTACGTTAGCTGGGAATTGTTTGATGTTAGCTGGGAATTGTTTGATGTTAGCTGGGAATTGTTTGATGTTAGCTGGGAATTGTTTGATGTTAGCTGGGAATTGTTTGATGTTAGCTGGGAATTGTTCTACGTTAGCTGGGAATTGTTTGATGTTAGCTGGGAATTGTTCTACGTTAGCTGGGAATAGACATAATTTAGCTATCAATAGGCCTACTTTAGCTATCAATAGACCTACATTAACTATCAATAGGCCTACTTTAGCTATCAATAGACCTACATTAACTATCAATAGGCCTACTTTAGCCATCATTAGACCTACATTAACTATCAATAGACCTACATTAACTATCAATAGACCTACATTAGCCATCAATAGGCCTACATTAACTATCAATAGACCTACATTAACTATCAATAGGCCTACTTTAGCTATCAATAGACCTACATTAACTATCAATAGGCCTACTTTATCCATCAATAGACCTACATTAACTATCAATAGGCCTACTTTAGCTATCAATAGACCTACATTAGCCATCAATAGACCTACATTAACTATCAATAGGCCTAATTTAGCCATCAATAGACCTACATTAACTATCAATAGGCCTACAATATCCATCTACCTTTGATTGGGTTGACTACAATTGATATAGACTGATCGAGGGTTCCATTGAGGGCTGCCATTAGTTCTTCATCCTCCTCCCAGTGCTGCCAGCCTGACCGATCCGTCACGTACACCATAACAAAGTGTGGTGATTCTGTTGGGTACAAATTGGTAGTTTAATTGGTAGTTTATGGTAGTTTATGAGGTGTGGTTTGTTTGTTATTGTGTATATTTGGTGATGTTGTGATTTTGTTTTACGGGAATTTGTATAAATATGATTTAAAAATATATGAAATTAGTGAGATTCCTGAGAAGAATTTCACATTAGTGGTGATAGTCTACTAACACCTTGTGTATGGGGTCACCTCTGTTGTTAACCATATAGTAAAAGTGTCGTCCCTGTAGTGAAGGTGTTAGTGGTGATAGTCTACTAACACCTTGTGTATGGGGTCACCTCTGTTGTTAACCATATATTAAAAGTGTCGTCCCTGTAGTGAAGGTGTTAGTGGTGATAGTCTACTAACACCTTGTGTATGGGGTCACCTCTGTTGTTAACCATATATTAAAAGTGTCGTCCCTGTAGTGAAGGTGTTAGTGGTGATAGTCTACTAACACCTTGTGTATGGGGTCACCTCTGTTGTTAACCATATATTAAAAGTGTCGTCCCTGTAGGAAGGGTGTTAGTGGTGATAGTCTACTAACACCTTTGTATGGGGTCACCTCTGGTTGTTAACCATATATTAAAAGTGTGTCGTCCTTGTAGTGGAAGGTAAGAAGGGTGATAATGCATTAACACCTTGTGTATGGGGTCACCTCTGTTGTTAACTAAATATTAAAAGTGTCGTCCCTAGTGAAGGGTGTTAGTGGTGATAGCTCCACAACACCTTGTATGGGGGGTCACCTCTTGTTGTTAACCATATATTAAAAAGTTGCCGTCCCTTGGTAGTGAAGGTGTTAGTGCGATAGTCTACTAACACCTTGTGTATGGGGTCACCTCTGTTGTTAACCAAATATTAAAAGTGTCGTCCCTGTAGTGAAGGTGTTAGTGGTGATAGTCTACTAACACCTTGTGTATGGGGTCACCTATGTTGTTAACCAATTATTAAAAGTGTCGTCCCTGTAGTGAAGGTGTTAGTGATGATAGTCTACTAACACCTTATGTATGGGGTCACCTCTGTTGTTAACCAAATATTAAAAGTGTCGTCCCTGTAGTGAAGGTGTTAGTGGTGATAGTCTACTAACACCTTGTGTTTGGGGTCACCTCTGTTGTTAACCAAATATTAAAAGTGTCGTCCCTGTAGTGAAGATGTTAGTGGTGATAGTCTACTCACACCTTATGTATGGGGTCACCTCTGTTGTTAACCAAATATTAAAAGTGTCGTCCCTGTAGTGAAGGTGTTAGTGGTGATAGTCTACTAACACCTTGTGTATGGGGTCACCTCTGTTGTTAACCATATATTAAAAGTGTCGTCCCTGTAGTGAAGGTGTTAATGGTGATGTCTACTAACATTTTATGTCACCTCTGTTAACCATATATTAAAGTGTCGTCCTGTAGTGAAGGTGTTAGTGGTGATAGTCTACAACACCTTATGTATGGTCACCTCTGTTGTTAACCATATATTAAAGTGTCGTCCTGTAGTGAAGGTGTTAGTGGTGATAGTCTACTACTTGTGTATGGGTCACCTCTGTTGTTAACCATATTAAAGTGTCCTCCTGTAGTGAAGGTGTTAGGTGATGTCTACCCCTTTGTATGGGTCACCTCTTGTTAACCATATATTAAAAGTGTCCTCCTTTAGGTGTTAATGGTGATAGTCTACTAACACCTTGTGTATAGGTACTGTTGTTAACCAAATATTAAAGTGTCCTCCTGTAGTGAAGGTGTTAGTGGTGATAGTCTACTTTCACCTTGTATATGGGGTCACCTCTGTTGTTAACCAAATATTAAAGTGTCGTCCTGTAGTGAAGGTGTTAGTAGTGATAGTCTACTAACACCTTGTGTAGGGGTCACCTCTGTTGTTAACCAAATATTAAAAGTGTCCTCCTGTAGTGAGGTGTTAGTGGTGATAGTCTACTAACACCTTGTGTATGGGGTCACCTCTGTTGTTCCATATATTAAGTGTCGTCCCTGTAGTGAAGGTGTTAGTGGTGATAGTCTACTAACACCTTGTGTATGGGGTCACCTCTGTTGTTAACCATATATTAAAAGTGTGTCCTCCTGTAGTGAAGGTGTTAGTGGTGATAGTCTACTAACACCTTGTGTATCAGGTCACCTCTTTAACCATATATTAAAAGTGTCCTCCCTGTAGTGAAGGTGTTAGTGGTGATGTCTACCTTTTTTATTATCAGTCACCTCTGTTGTTAACCATATATTAAAAGTGTCGTCCTGTAGTGAAGGTGTTGTGGTGATAGTCTACTAACACCTTGTGTATAGTCCTCTGTTGTTAACCATATATTAAAAGGTGTCGTCCCTGTAGTGAAGGTGTTAGTGGTGATATACTGTGTATGGGTCCCTTTTAACCATATATTAAAGTCGTCCTGTTGTTAGTCTACTAACACCTTGTGTATGGGGTCACCTCTGTTGTTAACCAAATATTAAAAGTGTCGTCCCTGTAGTGAAGGTGTTAGTGGTGATAGTCTACTAACACCTTGTGTATGGGGTCACCTCTGTTGTTAACCATATATTAAAAGTGTCGTCCCTGTAGTGAAGGTGTTAGTGGTGATAGTCTACTAACACCTTGTGTATGGGGTCACCTCTGTTGTTAACCATATATTAAAAGTGTCGTCCCTGTAGTGAAGGTGTTAATGGAGAAGAAAAACCCAACTTAAACCTGACCCCACTAAGTAAACCCCCATTAAAACCGAATACAATTATAAACCAAAAAACAATTTAAAACTAAAACTAATTAAAATATTCACAAAATAATTAAAACGGGACAACTCAACCAGCCAACACACCTGCAGGAAGATTAAACGGCTGCTTGAAGCTATTTAAAAGGACCTCTGTTCCTGCCGTAAGAGCCGCTATGTGACTTGAGAATCCTGAAGAAATAGCTGAAGATGGTGAGGTGTTCCTTGAAGTGTTCCCTGAAGGTAGCACTGTAGAAGGAACAACACCATCTGAAGAAGGCAATACAGTAGGTGGTCTCGATTTTAGCCAAGCATTCAGGAGATCATTGAGACGTTCCTTGTTCCTTCTGCTACCCACGATAACTGTGCCAAGTAACTTTTGTCTCCTGAGTGGCTGGTCGACCTCAGGCCAGCCACCCGCGACCCCTGGTGACAAGGAACCTCTACTGCAGGTGTCATCTTCAGGTAGACACAAGGCGACCTGGAGAGAGAGAGGTTAGGTGAGGGA